TTCAAAGTGTTTACATTTTTACAAAAAAAGAAACTTTCTTAATCTATTTTGTTTTGTGACAATTCATCTTTACGTTGCTTTGATAGAAAAAAAACCAAGAATATATTAACTGGATAAATAAAAATATATTTCAGCTTAGTAACAAGTTCGTAGTTATTAAAAGAATAAAAGTTTATGAAAATAATAAAAACCAGTGTTTATTTATTCGAAATATAAAAAGGAAAGGCGCTGATATAAATGGATGAAGTATTTATGAAAGCGTCACTTTGTTATTTAACAAATCGTTGTGATGAAGGTTTTGAATTAATTAATTTATCAATAAAATCGTCGAATAATGATATATATCTTAATTGGGAAGAAGAAGAAGTTTTTTGTCTTATATCAATGAATATAATTGAAAAAAGATTTCAATCATGGATTCGTCTAAATCGTATTTTAGTTAAAACAGATCATTTTAAAAAAAGACAATCAATTAAAATTTATATTAAAATTATTTTAAATGAAATTAATTTATATTCAAAAAATATTTTCTTATTAATTAATAAATATTTGTTAAAACCTTCAATATCAGTTCATCTTAGAATTTTTTATCTTAAAATTCAAGGTGATATTCATTTTCTTCTTAGTCAAACATCGATATCAGAAAAAAAACTTGAACATATGCATTCGTCATTAAATTTTTATAATCAATCATTAGAAATTTGTTATCATCATGCATTTTATCAATTATTATTATCAATAACATACAATAAAGCATTAGTATTGCAATTTCTGTTTTTCTTTTTTTTATTTATTTAAGAAAAACAAAAATCATAGATATATTTAATTATTTCTAGTTATTTATTTTATTAACAGAAGAATATAATATAGCACGAAATATACTTGAAAAAACTTCTAATTATTTATTCAATTTAAATAATAAACAACAAATCGAATATGAATATGAATTAAATCGAATAATATATCTTTTTAAATATTTAAAACAAATATCAATTTGATTGTATTTCAAGTTCATCTAATTGAGCACAATCATTAAATAGAACAATCATTATTGAAACAAATATAAATATATATATTGGAATACTTGATACTGATAAACCATATATTATTGTTAATTTTATTATATATATTGATAATATTGATAATGGTATTAAAACAATTAAACGTTTTATTCCTTAAATAAATAATAAAAAAAAAAAAAAAAAATATTCCATTTTTTTCTTTGTTTTAATAGAACAAACCTTGACAAAAATAAAGAACAAATCCACAAATAAGAAAACAAATTGAAAATATTGTTTTAACTTGATTTAATGATGTTTCTCTTACATATTTAATTGGAATTGTTTCTTGAATTTGTTTTATAAGTTCATGCTAATTAAATTTACTATTTTTGTTTTTTTTTTTAATTTAAAAAAAATAAAAAAATTTAAAATAAATACCATAAATGAATGAAGAGAAGGACTTATATTTGATGATAAATTAATTAAAGCTAAACTAATAAATAAAGCTCCAATTAAAGGAGATATTATTTGAGCAAACATTTTTTTTTTAAATGTTACGCTTGATTGATCTATAATAACTGATGATTACTCACTCTTCTATATAATCAATATAAAACTATCATCGATTGAAAGAAAAAAGAGCCTATCAATACCAACTACCTTAATTATTATTCAATTATTATATCATCAACAACCTATTTTCAATTTTATTTTCATTTATCAATCGTCAATCGTCAATAGTGATTAAATTTCTAATCTATACTCACCAGAATTTTGTAAAAAAAAAGAAAAAATTTTAATATTATGTTTTCGGGAGAGTTTTGTTGGTTTTAACTTGCATTGTCGTTGATTAAGAAATCATTATTGCCGACGTCTATTTTAATCAAATCAGAGAAAGATAAATTGAGATGATTTTTGAGAACACATATTCATAGCAAATTAATAATATATCTATCATCAAATTTTCTAGAGAATATTAAAGAGAAAATATCAAACTAATATATAAATACTTGAAAATATTTCAAATGAAAAGAAATTTATTTTTAACAAAAATAACTTTATTACAGATTTTCACTTTTATAAAGAACATTTAAAGAGAAACTTCATCAAGATTATTCTTGGTTTGTCGTATTCGTACTCTTCACTAATAAAATAGACTTGATAAATAAAAAAAGATATTAATGATATTCCAAAAGAAAAAAAAATACTCTCAAGGAATAGTTATGCGATACAAACAATAAACACAAATACATGAAATATAATGATAGATATCTATCGTAATTGAAAGAGTGTTGCCACTATTATAGTCACAATATAATTCACATCGTTTATATCTTATATGAAACTTAATTTATTTCTACTCAGAATTAATTCATCAATATAGAAATTCATTTTTTTTACTTTTTATCATTCAACTATTTTCGAAGTTTTTTCAAGAGGAATAATTAATTATTTTTTTTTTATGTCGGAACGAAACCTATTTCATATTTGAGGAAATAGGATAGGAAAACAACATTGAGCATGAGAATAAATAAATTCATAATCGACTAATTCGAAACAAACAAAGATTAAATATAATTCAAAAACAAATGAAGTCATATTAGAATATTTCATTATATACAAACATATGAATATGGTGTCTATTTTTTTTTTCTCGTATTCATTTAATATTTTCATTGAATAGATGTCAGAGAAATAAATTCTCTTTAATAGAAATATTTGAACGAAAACGAGATATTATTATTATTAAATTAATTCAAAACGATGATAATCATATAGAATAACTTAGAATCAATCTTGTTCGATGAGAACCATGATGAAAGAAAATATTTTCTACATATATTTCTAAAAGAATATTTTCTCGATCTATTATCGCTTTCATAGTTCTGATCGAAACATAGGCTCATATCACAACAAAATATAGTTCGGATATTGATCTATGCACTAGATTATTTTCACATCTATTGCTCATTATCTCAAAGTGCTACAAATTCTGTACAATAACGAATAACATATGTTTCTTTTTTTACATCCTCTAAAAACACAATTCGCGCACATGAAAATATACATTCTATCGAGAAGATGGATATATATACATGAATACCTGTGAGAAAAAAATGTTTCTTTTGATTTTTAGTAATTCTATTCACGAAGTTTGTCATTGTTGGCCATTTGTCTAT